AATAAAGGTTTTACCCTGGTGGGTTTACCTTTTTTAATATCCACATGGAAAAATTGTAATACCCTTTCCTGAGGGATTTTGATGTATAATTACTTTTTAAAGGGTTATTCCCCTTTCACCAATTGTAAAAGTTTGAGTTACTTCCCTTTTATGTTCAGGGATATTTTCATCTGGTATTAAGATTTTGATTGCCTACATTTGTAAAACATTTTTTTATTTTCATTGCCAGATTGGTTCCTTATGTATGTTTTTGTGGAACCTATCTGTCTCTTCCAAAAGGGAGGGGATGTGACCTACTTAGGTCCAGTAATGTTTTATTTTGACATTGTATAATACCTTATATGGATTGATGGTGCAACTACCGGGGATTTTCCACTGTCTTATTAAGGGTGTCTAGGACCCAGAAATTTTCCATCAAGATCTGATTGATTGATTCTGATCAGATGACCATCCCAACCAATGGCTACATGAGTTGAGGATAACCTCCCCTGTTGCATAAGTCTTTAACTGGATCGCACACACGCAACACGAGGCAGTCTACCTTGATCAAGCAGTCTACCTTGATCAAACGGTCTATTAAGACCAAGCCGTCCATTTTGTCCGGCAATAGATTCTGACCATTTGAACGTGAGAGATCTTAAGTCCTGAGTGTGCCATGCTTTCTTAAGTTGTTTTAGTATTCTAATATTATATTACTTGTCGCCAAGTGATTCTTGAAGCTATAGCAGTGTTGTGTGACCTGTGGCTATTTTTATACAGTGTTGAAATCTGTGATAGTGTTTTTTTCTTAAGCTTTGTAAGTTGGGTTTTGTTATTTCCTAAATTAAATATTTTATCTCGTTTAACCTAGTGTTCTGCCACAACTGTGTTCGCTTATTAAAGGTTGTATGCAGATTGGATGAGTTGTTAACTTCAATAGTATCACTAGTTTTCCCTAGACATCGAAATCGAGCCCTAGTGTGTTGTTGAGTTAGCGTTCATTCATTTAGGCTGTATGTCATTTGCATATAACCCCGAAAAAAGAATCCGGGGACGTTCACCATCTATCTGGCTGGTAGATAGGTAAACGTTACACCGTGGAAAAAAAGTATTTAGGTCTGATAAAAATGAGAGACAAAATAAATATCTCACCACAGTTATAAGGTAAGAACAGTTTTTATTGATTAACATGTCTATTTCACATTTATATACTTGTATAGCTTATATGTATATATAAAAATATATATATATATGTATGTATATATATATATATATATATATATATATATATATATATATATATATATATATATATGTATGTATGTATGTATATAAAGATAGATAGATAGATAAATAGATAAATAGATAGATAGATAGATAGATAGATAGATAGATAGATAGATAGATAGATAGATAGATAGATAGATAGATAGATAGATAGATAGATAGATAGATAGATAGATAGATAGATAGATAGATAGATAGATAGATAGATAGATAGATAGATAGATAGATAGATAGATAGATAGATAGATGGATGGATGGATGGATGGATGGATGGATGGATGGATGGATGGATGGATGGATGGATGGATGGATGGATGGATGGATGGATGGATGGATGGATGGATGGATGGATGGATGGATGGATGGATGGATGGATGGATGGATGGATGGATGGATGGATGGATGGATGGATGGATGGATGGATGGATGGATGGATGGATGGATGGATGGATGGATGGATGGATGGATGGATGGATGGATGGATGGATGGATGGATGGATGGATGGATGGATGGATGGATGGATGGATGGATGGATGGATGGATGGATGGATGGATGGATGGATGGATGGATGGATGGATGGATGGATGGATGGATGGATGGATGGATGGATGGATGGATGGATGGATGGATGGATGGATGGATGGATGGATGGATGGATGGATGGATGGATGGATGGATGGATGGATGGATGGATGGATGGATGGATGGATGGATGGATGGATGGATGGATGGATGGATGGATGGATGGATGGATGGATGGATGGATGGATGGATGGATGGATGGATGGATGGATGGATGGATGGATGGATGGATGGATGGATGGATGGATGGATGGATGGATGGATGGATGGATGGATGGATGGATGGATGGATGGATGGATGGATGGATGGATGGATGGATGGATGGATGGATGGATGGATGGATGGATGGATGGATGGATGGATGGATGGATGGATGGATGGATGGATGGATGGATGGATGGATGGATGGATGGATGGATGGATGGATGGATGGATGGATGGATGGATGGATGGATGGATGGATGGATGGATGGATGGATGGATGGATGGATGGATGGATGGATGGATGGATGGATGGATGGATGGATGGATGGATGGATGGATGGATGGATGGATGGATGGATGGATGGATGGATGGATGGATGGATGGATGGATGGATGGATGGATGGATGGATGGATGGATGGATGGATGGATGGATGGATGGATGGATGGATGGATGGATAGATAGATAGTTCTGCAAGTTTGCATAGAGGTATTCAATGGGAGACAACTGCATGACACGGACGCTATAAATAACAACGATGTGCGTGTCTGCCATGGTCAGGGTGATGTTCGGTCGGCTACTTTACAACTAGGAGATATAAACAAGGATTCTCAAATAATTAATAGCCTTTCACTCAGTAAAAATATTAGGGATTTTTTACACAGTGTACGCATGTGTACAGAACCTATCAATTTGTGAACATTTGTGATTATAATAAAATATTTTACGCTATAATTTAGTGATGATATGCCTCCGAACACACGTTGGATATTGTTTTGTAAAAAGACATGGCCCTACTCTGGTCTAACTAAAATAGAAGATGGCGATGGATGGGGTGTGTCATAAGAATGAAGCCAGTGTTTCTTCCATACCCCTTTCTCCGTGTGGGGGCGGTAACCTTTTTTTTTTTACATCTTTAAGAATCTCTGTAAAACAGATACTTACTGTTTCTCTGTTTTCCTCCACAAAACGCTATTTGCCGATTCGTCATTCCATCGCAGCTACCTATTGAGTGGTGAATACCTAAAGTAAAGATACCAAGGATCAAAAGCAAAGGCACAACTCTGGTTTCACGTCCCTTCCCCTAACAGAATTAGAAAAAAAGAACCCCCCCCCCCCCCAACCCAGTGGCGTAGCTACCGTAAAGCTAGCGTAAGCAAGGCAAATAGGGGCCCTTTTTCGAAAGTTTGAGGGGAGGGTGCAAATCGAAAGTCTGAGGGGGGTGCAAATCGAAAGTTTGTCGCCGGGAAGGGTCGCTACGCCTCTGAGGGGGCCCACTAACACTTTTTGCATAGGGGCCCAAAAATCCTAGCTATGCCACTGCCCCAACCGCCCCCGAAAAGTTTAAGTCCCCCATAACAGTTAGTTTCAAGTGTCTCCCCCTTCCCCCTCCCTCGGAGATAAATCTCTGAAAGAAGCACTACTTAATGATTTCCCCCATAAAATGTATTATAATTTTTAATAAACCGGGAGTGATCTCCCCTAAACTTTCTCGAATATTCTTATATAAAATAACAGGGGATGGGAACTCGGGCTATAGACATATTTTTAATCCATTTTAAATACTTAAAGTTTTAAAAATAGAATAAAATCTCGTAGACAAATTAATTGCACACCAAGTGAACGCCAAATAAAAAAGCGCATAATAGTGCGCAATATTATTAGTACTTTTAAAATTTACATTAGTTTTTTGAGAAATCGGAAGTAGCGTAAAGTACTACTTCCAGTCAACGGAAATTACTCAAAATTTAACAGAAGGTAGAAAATTAGATCTTTTACTTACATGTGAAATTTCATTTATCTATCTGAAATAGTACTCAAGTTATAGGCTTTTGAAAAATTCAAAGTAGAAAAAGTACCACTTCCGGTTATCGGAAATCGCTCAAAAGTTGATACGGATCTACGATTTTGATAAAATACTTATATATCAAATTTCATCAACCTAGCTGTAACGGTAGTCAAGTTATCGTGTTTACACACGGACAGACAGACAGACACACAGACATACGGACAAGATTGCAAAATTATGTTTTTCCGTATCAGTGAGGTGTAAAACGTTGAGATTTGTAAAAATCTCGATTTTTTTTTTTTTCACGATTACAAGACTTTCTCTATACTTCGTATATACGAGAAAGTAAAAAGGCATAATTACTTTATAGTTGCCCCCCCCCCCCCCTTTACAGTGTATACAGTTATTATAGTCTTAACTACTATACAACACGCCCATACACTAATTCAGGATAAAAAATCAAATACACACTTTAAAGACGGCATGGGGAGTCTGACTAGCACATCAAACACCCTTCATACATTAATGTCCCCCTCCTCCATAAATATTGTGCAATACAGACAGTACGATGCTACGTAATCATAGTGTAATGTCAATACGAGTAGTCAACCATTGTTTATTAAAATCTGAGTGAATTGATGGAGACTTTATATACCTTAAATTTTTTCAATCACAAAGAACACCCCACCTACTCTGCACGCCAATGAATATATATATATATATATATATATATATATATATATATATATATATATATATATATATATATATATATATATATATATATGTGTGTGTGTGTGTGTGTGTGTGTGTGTGTATATATATACAAGTGTGTGTGTCAGCGTTTCTTCCAGATTTCTGTGGGGTGGAGGGGGGCGGATACTGGTAAAAGTATACATTTTCTAGATAAATTCTATTTCGTTCGGGGGAGTGGGGCGGTAGACGTTCTTCCCAATAGAAATTCTGATGTGTGTGTGGGTGCGTAGAATTGTTTTATCATTTATCAAATTTATTTGTCGTATTATGATTATACTTATAATGAGGCGAGGCTAATTTCTTTGATTGTGTTCCGGTACCTAATTAGTATGCTCTATCACGAAAGTAAAAGCCGAGGGTTATTACAATCTAAGAAAAGAACAAGACTGTTAAAAATACAATGGCATCTCAAGCTTCTGCGTATTCAGCTGCTAGTTCGGCTTTGTATCAAAGTACGATCGCTAGCACCGGAATTCAAAGAGAAACCTTTGGTGATCGAATAGCACAAACTAAACTTTGGCTGTACAACCCTGAAGATGGAACTGTTATGGGTAGAACTCCAGTGGGTTGGGGTAAGGTTTTTTTCAATAATTTTTTATCAGTTGTTAGCTATTATTTGTAATCTAGGGATCGATTTATTGATTAAACTTCAAAATATTATTAGTAACCCTAAGGAGCCGTCTAAAGGGGTAAAGATATTTTTTTTTAAGCTGAGGTATTGAATAATACACAGTCAACGTTAAGAAAGTAAAAACGGCTACATGGCTACTGGTTTATCTTTTTCAACATTAATTAATCGTGTGGCACCACAATAACAACCTTTACGGGATATTGCCTTGTAAATCGCGCTACCAACCTTTCCAACTGGAGAGGGGAGGGGGGGGCGAGCTTTCTCACCAACTTGAATAACTATATATATATATATATATATATATATATATATATATATATATATATATATATATATATATATATATATATATATATATATATATATATATATATATAAATGGACGGGGGAGGGCGCAAGGTTGATTGTTTGCCCCGGGCGCCGGAATAGGTCGATACGCCTCTGGCTATCACTAACACCGAGGACGAATGAAGTCAGTTGAGTTGTAGATGTTACTAGTGGCGCCCCAACGATTCACCTAGACAACTAGAAAGATGAAAATCTTTTAAAAAAAATTAATATTCAATTAATTTTGGGTTTCGTTTTAACACACCCTTCCTCAAATAGTAAATTGTGATAATCCACACCCCCCCCCCCCCACGCACACACACAATTAGGTTCCATCTAACTAAACAAATATATAGATTAGCCTAATTTAATGTCTTTTACCCTAAATGTCGATTTTTAAAAAAACAGTGGCATAGCCAGGATCGTCTCATGGGGGTGGGGGGGGGGTTCACATTTTTTTCCTTCATTATATATATGATAGGTCAAGACAGACAATACAACATGACTTTAAATTTGAAGTAATTGGATGCCTAATGAATTTTTTTTTATGAGTTAATTTAAATTTTCAGAAATTAGTAGGCAGTCATGTACTACTCTTTCCGCACAATTATGCATTTTTTTTTTAAATTCATGGTAGCCAATGTATTAGTTGTTTTTCGATTTTTTACTTACGATAAATGCCTAAAAAATGTAATTACTCTAGCCGATCTCTAATTTTAGTTTAATTTCAGTCATTTACATTGTTTGCATCTTTGTGTTCCTGTGTTGTCTACTGGCGATGTCATCTGTGTTTTGTGGCATCTTCTACTGGGTTATCGACTGGAACAATCCAACACTGCAAGGCGCTAGCAGTATTTTACAGGTGGGCGTTTGTTTGTTTTTTAAATATATTTAAACCACATTTTTACAAGCTTTTAGTTAGTTCGCAACGTCTGTTTGATTGTTCTTTTAGTTGTTTGTTTGTTTGTTTGTTTGTTTGTTTGGTTGTTTGTTTTTTTATTTGTTTGTTTGTTTGTCTGTCTGTCTGTCTGCCTGCCTGCCTGCCTGCCTGCCTGTCTGTCTGCCTGCCTGCCTGCCTGTCTGTCTGTCTGTCTGTCTGTCTGTCTGTCTGTCTGTCTGTTTGTTTGTTTGTTTGTTTGTTTGTAGTTTGTATGTAAGGGACTGAGTGGTCTAGCGGTAGAGAGCTGGGCTGCTAACCCGTAATTTTCGAGTTCGATCCGGTTTCAAGCCAGTAGACCGTCCCTGAGTCCACCCAACTTACGTTAGGGAAAGTAAAGGCGACTGAGCATAGTGCTGACCACACTATCTCTTCATATGCCGAGGTCACAGAAACAAGTGAACTCTACTTCACTTGCCCCAGAGACCGTCAGGTTTGAAAGGAACTTTACTTTACTTAAAAAGTAAAACATAAAACAAATATAAAAAAAACCTTTAGCCTACAGCATCAAGCTTTTTAGTGTACTGAAAATAAGAAAATAAAACTAATTTGCTTTCTTTCATATAAGCTTTTGTCGCTCATGTCATTTTACATATTTTAGCGACAAAAGTTTTTATTGAAAGAAAACAAATTATTTTTTTTATTTAAAAGCTTGTTGCTATAAAGGGTTTTTTAATTTTTTAATTTTTTTTTTACTAAAGACTCCCGGGATGTCTTTTAGACCACAACCATTTATTGGAACAACTCTGGTACGATTTGTAAAAGGAGACATTACTACATACGCTCATCACTTGGATCACATAGAAGCCTATATTCAATGTAAGTTGTTATTTTTTTTTTCGTTTCCCGTCTGTACCCAAGACACATGGGGCAGATTTAAAAAATCGTTCATCTGTTTCAATAACCTCCTGGGGGGTGGGGGAATATGTGCTCAGCACAATGCCCAGGTGCCTTTACTTTCTCTAACGTATTTCAAAGTAGGACCTACTCATCTGAGCTGGGTAACACTGACGTCCTACAAACCAGAGCCCGTGATATGAATTCGAGACTATCTATCTTTCTAACAAGCCGTCCCTTTGTTTTTTACTTAACTATTATTTAAATCATTATTATAACTAATTATCCTAGCCTTGTGTGTGTGTGTTCATTTTGTCTAGTCCTGTAGTTTGTGCAAAGGCGTAGCGACCCCTCCCGGCGTCTGGGGACAAACTTTCAATTTGGCGCCCCCCCCCCCATATATTTTTTATATTTATAATTCAAAATAGCAGCTAAAATGAGCTTATTTTTGGCGCCCCTAGGTTTGGCGCCCGGGGACATATGTAACCCCCCTCCCCCCCCCCCCCCCCCCCCCCCCCCCCCCCGTTGCTACGCCTCTGAGTTTGTGCAATACAAAAAAACAATAACAAAGATGATTTCCGTACATGATTTGTTGATGAAGAATTGTACCCTTGATTATTTTATCCTTCAAGTTATTCTCTCTTTGACAGATTATGAGAATGCGCTACAAGTTGGTGACCGTTACAAGGACTGTAGCGAGATAAGAAAACGCAGGACAGAAGAGTTGGATAAAGTGTGTGTCTTTGACCCTATTGTGTTAGGCGGGGATTGTGTGAAGCAACAGAATTATGGATTTGATGACGGCCAACCTTGTATTCTACTAAAATTAAACAGAGTAGGAAATAACACTTTTAACTGTTATGATTTATTCTCTTTGTTGTTCAAGTTAATAATGTTCTTCCTAACACTAGTTCTGGCTTGAATTATTCATGAAATAGAGCATATAAAATTGCTTGTCAGTTCGCGAATTTATTATCAATAATGGATTTTTAAAACAATGTTTAAAAAAAATGTATTCCATTGTTGTGCAGGTGTTTGGTTGGATTCCTGAAGAGTTTACAGCTGAAACTGTCCCTGCCTTGATCAAAGAAAAATGGGATGCTAACGACCCTTGGTGGATCCATGTTAGATGTGATGGCGATGTAAGCGCTTCTAAACTGAAGCTGTTTGTTTCATAATAATATGTAATATTTATATAAGAATTTTTATCATTTTTTTTCAACTTCATTCAAGTATAGGGGTGGGGTGGGCACAGTTGGATATCGGGCTGTGTTGTGCAGTGCAACAAATAGACCTTTTCCAACGAAAACTTGGTTGTCTAGTATATTACATTTTTAAAAATTAAACTTGGTCAGTATTTATTATAAAATTTTCAATTTGCTGTTTCCTCTATTGTGAAAAAAGCGTATTATGTATATAAGATTTATCGACAATTTTTTTACTCCATTGAAGTCTTGTTGTTTATTTAAAAATTATTTTACTTACAGGAAGTTTTTCTTTTTCTATTTTTTTTTGTGATATAGTAGGATGTTTATGCCATGATGGAATTGTATCACTTATTTTGCTGTTGAGAAAATATATGACAAATTAACCATTTCAGGATGATGCCACCAGAGAAAACATGGGAGACTTGTCCTATTTCCCACAGCAAGGCTTCCATTTCAAGTACTTTCCATTCCGCAACCAACAGGGCTACAGGTCCCCTTTGATGTTTCTACGGTTTGAGAACCCTCAACCTGGTGTTCTTCTTATGATGACCTGCAGAGCATTTGCCAAGAACATCATACATAATCATGTAGAGCAGGTGGGCCAGGTTCATTTTGAAGTTATTGTTGACTGAAGACTGAACCTCTTAACATGAAATTACCTAAAATGTGCCGTAGTAACAACAGCATAGTTCAGAACAATCACAATCAACCATTCGTATAAATAGATCAGAACTTATTATTGAGACGTTTAAACTTAGACTTGCTGATAAATACATTTGTCTGTATTCACACTGGATATGAGTCTGCTTTTCTATGGAACTATCAAACGCTCTAACCAGAAACAAAGCTACCACTTTTGGCGTCTCGTCCAAGTTATTATTTTTACTAATGTTTCTACGGGCTTTATTATATTTTATTGAAGATTATGTTTTAAAAACAAAAAAATATATTCCTTCTTAACAGACTTGCACAGATTGTGAGGTCTTTGTTATTCAACACAATTTTTGAAGATGATATTAAGCTGTATGTGTATGCCATTTATTCATTCCAAAATTATGCAATTGTATTAGATTTTTTAAAAATGTTTTAATGTTTAGGTTTAATTATATTTGTAATGCAAATTTCATGTTTCTGTCTAAGATTCAGTAAATCCAAAGCTATGCAATAATCATTTATTATCTTTGTTTTAATGATATATTTGTCATGATTTAATTATGTAACCTCTATACAAAATTTCGTATTTCTATAGCAATGCAGTAGTTATGTCAGATCTTTGATGTGATTGTAACTTTAATACAGCATTTTTCTACACATTGTTTTACATGTTAAATAAGTTATTTCATTGTTGTGTTCGGCATTGTAATAAATGCATTATGTCTGCTCAACTATTTTTATCCTATACATGCTATTACCCCAATTTATTTGAAAATCCATCCTGTAATGAGGAACACCCAGCGAGTTGAAGTCATAGACCAAATAATTTTAGTGAAAAAAAAATGTTTTTAGTAGTATTTTATATATGTTCATTTCTTAATATATCGTAGTGTATAACTAAGGACAGATCTTCTAAGAAATATGGTGTCTTAACCCTCTCCCCTTACAATTATATATGTAGCTCCCTTACTCCTATCTTGGAAAAATGCTGTATCTTATAAAAGATACGAGTTTAGTGACATAGCTTTTGGTGTATATGTTTTAATACACTGATCTTATTTATGCTCAATGCCAGCATAATAAACTTGAATAATTCCAGTGTTTCATTTTTATCTAAACAGGAAATTTTATTCCAGTCATGACAACACAAATTTTGTAAATGCATCCATGTCTTTTGTCTACTCTATTGTTCTGAATTTTAATGCTTTTCCTACAAAATTTCTCTTTATGAATTTTCGTCTTTAATTTGATACCTTGTTTATGTTATCACAGGATTTGTGAGCTTTTCTAAATAAAAAAAAGTATAAAATGTGAAGTGTTAAATTTTTCTTTACAATTAATGTAAATGTAGTGCTGTTAAGAGATTGTATTAAAATTAATTATTATTGTTTTATTGGGTTTTTTTCTTTACTAAAATAGATAAGTAGCCTATATGTTATATTTTTGTGTGGATAGTCTGCTTAACAAATGTAGTATAAACAAAGTAGAAGATTGTAATGTACGCAATATTGTTTTTAAGCAGAACCAATCAAAAACACATTTAACTTGGGGGAAAAGATAACAAATATTTGTGTTTCACATTAAAAACTTAAGGTTGTGGTATGAGTTAACGAGCAAAAAAAATAATCCATAGAAAAAATTATTTCATAGGAGAAAATTTGGGTATTACTAAAATTGAGGGCCCTGAGCTGATGCCCGCTCAGGCCCCCCCCCCCCTTTTTTTTAAATCCCAATTAATCCGCCAATGCGTGTCCCGTGTAGGTGTGTAAGCTAAATTCTTATTTTCAAGCTATAGGCCTACGTTTTAACGTGGCCCCAACGCGGAGGCTTGACTCAATGACTGTAGTACCGGCGAATAACAATGGGAGACAACTGTATGACACAGGACGCTATTAATAACAATGATGTATGAGGTCTGTCACGGTGCAACGTTTGCTTGACGTTTTCTACAACTACCGGGCACAAACGAGGTTTCTCAAATACTGTACTTAGCATCCCTTTATAAGAGTAAAACCATTTTAGATTCTTTAAACAATGTAGAAAAGTGCGAATAAGCCATCAAGCTACTAAGATTGTTGGGAGGGGGGGTTCATTCGTATAAGAAGCAAAGCTTTATTTGACGATTATTACCCCCCCCCTCCTCTCCTCATCGTAAAAAAATCTTTACAAAAAGCCAGACACCACCCCTAAAACGACGTCACACTTCAGCCTACAACGTCCTTCAAAATTGTTTTATTTTTTTTTTAAATCAATAACTTTTCTTCAAAAATATTTCCGCAGCCCAGTCAATATTCGACAAATTAACGTCAATTATAATTTACAAAGAAGCCTTTTTAAAACTCGAAATAATGGCTAAATATGAGTTTATAACATTATTTTCATCATACATCATCACTGAATTCCGAATCCTTCATCACTGAATTCCGAATCCCTCATCACTGAATTCCGAATCCCTCATCACAGAATTCCGAATCCCCCTTCCCTCCTATGAGTGTGGCGTCGTTTATGGAAGACCTCATGTATGTGTATGTAATTTTTTTTTAAACTTTGAGAACCCCTGTACAATAAAGGCCGACAGTCCGACAATTTCACTATATCTTAAATGCGCTATTTTTCTCCACAACTCTAACGACACTTGTCGTAGTTTGTATCAACGATAACGATACTTAGGGCCCAACGTCGTTTGGTTGTTGTAGCAGTTGGTTATAGGCCTATTTAGTGTTAGAACTGAAGTAGGCCTATCTAATCGGCGATGCTAGATTTAATTCTCAAGTATCATTAGACGTTAAAAAAAAAAGTCATTTAAAGATCGTCACAAAAAATAGTAGTCCTAAAGGGTAACCTTTTATCTTCAAGCTTGCCTAATGGCAATTGGTTACGGTACAGAGACTCTCTCATTATGGTGGTTAAGTAATGCAACATGTTTTATCCTCATTTACATAATTGGCCAGAGTTGGTTAAGGAAAAAAAATTGAGGTAACGGTCATTAACGTTTACATAGATCTATCAAAAGCCGCCAATTTTTTTTAAGATGGCTGTGGAAATAGATGTTTGAGTCATAAAATTTTGTAAATTTTTAAAAAGTTGTGTTAATCTTTAGCTTTAGGCATTTTTTTGCGATTAAAAAAATCCACCTCGACTTTCACTAACTTACACTAAAAAACGGTTTATCCCCCCCCCCCCCCCCCCCCACACACACACACAGGAAAAAATAGAAAGTATAGGCCTATAATTTATATATATTAGAAAATATATATTCTTTAACCAGCGTTCCAACTTAACTGTCCAAGTTAATTAAAAAGTTAAAGGTTAATGTAATGTCACCACGTCCAATTTTCACCTGTGCTATATTTTTTTTTAAATTTTAGGCGATTCGCTTATCAGTGGCATAGAAGTGGTATTTAACCCTAATAGGACAAAAACGACAGAAAGGAGTATGAGTTCTTTTTTTTTAATAATTAATAATTCTTTGAGAGAGTGTAGAGGGAGAACTTGAAATTTCCGGGGGGGGGGGGGGAGGTGAGCGGTCAATGTTTTAAAATTTTAATTTTTTTCTTTACAAATTTTATCTTTTCTTTCTATTTTGTCGGTGTTGGAAGAGGGGGTTCTGACTCGGGCACAGAATTAAAAATTATCTCTTTATAGCATACAATACTATTTTAGTATTAGTCTACCTACATAGCCCACCAAAGTTTAAGAAAGGAAAACTTAATGCTGATTAGCTCATACAGTAATATGCTGCTAAAATTCATTACTAAAATACATTCACTGTGTCTTTCGTTCTTTATTTATTGGTTAATGCCAAAACATTGACATAATCTAGTATCTCAGGCTTCGACGGCTACGTAGCAAAATCACTCTCCGTACACAGATGACAGGAAACGATCACTTATCTCACCTGCGTACCCCAGGTGGAGCTAAGATCGAACGCGGAAGTACTGTCAACTGTGTTTGGATGTGGTAAAAAAACATCCAACAAAAATGGCATCAGAAGTCTCGGCATATTCGACCACCAGCTCAAGGTACCAAAGTACAATAGCAAGTAGTGGCATCCAAAGAGAGACTTTGGGTGACCGTATGAGCCAGACCAAGCTATGGCTTTACAACCCTGAAGAGAACACTGTAATGGGCAGAACCCCGAGGGACTGGGGTATGTTACCTACCTGATTACCTGCACTCTTCTGTTTATTTTAAAACTGAAATCTTAAGCATTTCTCATATTTCTATTTTGCACGCCTAATCTCTTTTTTTTTCAGAATTAGATTCTATCTAGATCTATAAATTTTTGAAGTTCTATTCTATTTATTAATATATCTCACACTTTTTCAACTTTTTGTTTGAAATTTTCAACACAGGTAACAACATAGAAAAAAGTTTCAAAGTAACAAAAGATACTAGTTATTACTAGATCTAGATACGATTCTAGATAGTAAAAGATACCTATCAGATCGAGATAAGAAGACAATGAGGGGACTATCAATGACTCACGATCAGAGGCGTAGCGATGGGGGGGCAGGGGGGTACATATGTCCCCGGGCGCCGACCTTAGGGGGCGCCAAAATGGGTTGAAAAAACAAATTAAAATGTCGATTTAGCTGCATTTTTGCAATTTGAGGGGGGGGGTGTAAAAATCGAAAGTTTGAGAGGGGTGCAAATCAAAAATTTGAGGAGGGGGGGTGCAAATCGAAAATTTGCTCCCGAGGGGAGCGCCAAATTGAAAGTTTGTCCCCGGGCGCCGGGAAGGGTCGCTACGCCTCTGCTCACGATAATATAATTAATTTTAATTAACAGGGCCTAATGGTTAATAATAGTAACAATATAAAATCTCAATAAGCCTCTTAAAATCGATCACAACGTAGGGGGCCTAGCCTATATAATATTATAATATATCAGTATAGTAGGCCTATAGGTAGACATATCTCTCATACATGGAGGAGTGGAGCAGGGCCCCCTGAAACACATCCACCACCTCCCTGGCCATATTCAAAAAATATGTACAGACTCCAATTGCAATTAGCCCTATACAGAAAAATATATTTCAACCACCCTCTCCTGGATATCTGAATTATGTCACTTCGCTTACCCAGTGAAGTAAACTATCTTAAAGAAACCCTGATTGCCTACAATATATTATAAGTAGTATCCATATATATGCCTATTAACAAACAAAAATTAGCAGACCCACCATGCCCTCAAATAGTCTCCAAAATGTTAACATAGGCCTACAATCTGTTTGCTGCAGTAAAACTTCATGGGCCTGACTAATGAAAAATGTTCCAGCATACTTCAAAGTGTATAGGTCTATTAAAATTAGCAGACAAAAAGCTGGTCCAAGCTCTTGACAACCGTGACAGGTCAGGAAGTGATAGCAGACCTGTTTACACACACACACTGTGCTGTGACAGGTCATAACATTTATCTCCCTTTCTTAAATAATAAATGAGTTTAAGACATCGGTTAGCTTAAAAGTTGTGTTTTTAGTAAACAGAAAATTTCTACAAGTAAGTTAGTTATAAAAAGTAATAAGCTGTGTCCAAATTATTTGATTTTAACTAATTATTCTGCATGCTAGTAATATGTATGCCTGAGAAACAAAACAAAAAAATCCTTATCCTGATAGTAAACAACCTATGTAAAAACAAATTAAATTGTTAAGATTACACAAACAAATGTTTCTGTTGCAGTTTGTACTATTTGTGTGACTACACCCATACAACTCTTACAAGTAAAATTCTCTGTTCCATTCTCTTCACACTCTATACCTTTGAAGTTTTTGTTTAAGCTGTATTTTAATCAGCCTCTAAAGTCACTGCAATGTTGAGGTTAATGCTCTTAGCTCGTTAGCATCTGCCACTAAGGTTAAAGATATCTCAGGGGGGGGGGGGGGGGGCGCTCACTGAAACTGTTTTGGTTTGTGGACTCAGTCTCTGTTTATACAGCAATGTAATTTTTCTTGTTAGGGCTTCACTTCAACACATTTTCCTTTTTTATTTTTCTGTAAAAAATTTACTCGGTTTTATTTTTACTGCCTTTTAACTGTCTACTTTTTCACTCCAAAGTTAGATCTAGTATAGTGCTAGTTCTAAGTGACCCAAAATATATAGAGCTAGGTCAATGTGGCCACAGGTAGGACCAGGCTCAACTGGGCTCTAGTCAAAGTGACACCAGATTTTATTATGGGTCTAGTAGTCCCAGGTCAAGTGACCCATTATAGGGCAGTGGCCCCATAAAATCAGTATGAAATAAAACACTACTGTTCTGTGCACATGTATGGCCTACTGTTCTTGATATTTGTGCCACTTATAATTGACCTTTAATTAGTATTTTGGGCCAATCTGTTTATTTGTTAGCCACATAGATATTAGCTATAAATGCCGACAGTTGTAAAGAAAAAACACAAGCTCGCATGATGTTTGATATATTCACAGTAGTAGTGTAATTATTATATTGCTTACTTATCAGCATTACTTTGGCTCATGGATAATGTCTTAGTTCTAGCAGAACCATTTTTTTTTTTTTTTTGATGCTGTATATGACTTTTTATGGCCAAACCAGTGCTATCAATGTAGTTTTAGACAAACTGGAGGCACTAAGATATTTTATGTTTTAGAATTAGTTTGGAATCAGCATGAGTAAAATCAATTAGAATTAAAATAGATTATATACTATAATATTTATGAACCAAACGTTTTAGTCTTTAAAACTTTTTGGATTAGCTTTAAAATAAATAATAATTTTTTTCAGCATTGTACCTGTTCTGCATCTTCATATTTCTGTCTTCCTTGATTGCAATTTCTGCTGCTTTCTGTGGCATCTTCTACTGGGTTGTTGATTGGAATGCCCCAGAGCTTCAGGGAGCTAGCAGTATTTTACAGGTAAGAACAGGGAGGGGTGTTGTGTTTTTCTATCTGTTTGTGAACTAGTTTTAAAAAGCTAACGTAATTTTATTTTCTATATAATTAATTATAGTAAACAATATACTGTACTGTAATTGTGAAATATAATGTATAGGCCTATAAACTAAATTATTTATTTTTTTGTATGGATTACATAGAAAAACTAAATTAGCTTTATAATATTTACGAAAAGTTTTATTTCCCTTGCAGTTAATTGTTTTTCTGAAAAAAATCTAAATTAGGAACTATCATCATAATCTTTTCCCATTCGTGCCCAAGGCATATAGGACCGATGAAGAAGAGTCCGTCTGTTTCAGAGACCTAGGCATATGAAAGGATAGTGTGGTCACCATTATGCCCAGCTGCTTTTGTTTTCCTTAACGTTTTAATTAGGTGCCCATCAGAGCTGTGTGGACTCTGGGACATTCTACTGACTTGAACAAGGGTTCGAATTTGAGACATTCGGGCTAGCTGTCTAGCTCTCTACCGCTAGGCTATGCCATCTTATAAATTATGAATTATGTTTTACTAAAACACAATGGCAATAATGAATTTTTTTGTTTTGAGGATTTTAAAAACAATTTTGATCAAATTATTTGTTCAAACCTTACAGACTCCTGGCATGTCATTTAGACCACAGCCTTATGTCAAATCAACGTTGGTTCGGTTTCTGAAAGGTGATGTTACAACATACTCTCACATCATAGATCACATAGAAGCATACGTACAATGTAAGTGGCATCTGGCATATTTTCAAATTATTTTTTTTCTTTCAATGTGTGGTTTTTTATTTCATGTTGTACTTATATGTAACTTAGCATCTATTTCATCTAAGTTTTAACACTAGTTCCAGTGTTTGATCGAATTTAAATTTTAATTACTTCATAGTACTTTTGGGATTTAAAATAATAATTATTATAATGAATCAAGTGCTCCTTAGTTAATTAGTTGCAAAAGAATTCTGTGGTTTAAGTTTCCATCATATAAATTTAATAAAATAAATCATAAATTTGTTTTTACATTTTAGTATTTATACTCTTCTTTTCACATTTTTACTTTAGCATCTCCATAAATGACCTCACACTCCTAAGAGATGGATAGGGAATTCTTTAAACTTTGCAATATTTTCATTAATTATCCTACACCAATGTTGTTCCACAGATTATGAAAATGCGCTGCAGGTAGGTGACCGGTATAAAGATTGCAGCGCAATACGAACACGTCGTACAGATGAGCTGGATAAAGTGTGTGTGTTTGATGCCATTGTCTTTGGCGAGCTCTGTGTGAAACAACAGAACTACGGATATGATGATGGTCAGCCTTGCATTTTGCTTAAGCTCAACAGGGTATGTATAATACAGACTTATTTGACTATAAATAATTAGTACCAGCTTCTTGAAAGTCTTTGAGGGTCGGCGTAGTCGAGTCGGTAAAGCTAAATCAAAAAGTGGAGTTTGAACCTTCGGGCAGATGAGGCTCGTTAGCTGGGGACAGCCACTCTTCTAGGAGAGACAACTCCAAAATCAAACAACTGCTGCCTTGTAGTTTGTTCTTGGTTAGACAAAGGCTATGGAAGCGAATCCAAAAAGAAAAGCAGGCTGAAATCGGAGTCAATGGCCTCAATGGCGCAAAACCAGTTGACACGTATACTTAATTGTGATGGAGGGAATCTCTTCCAACACTAAAATTAAGAATGAAGAAGGAGAAAAAAGAAAGTCTTGGCCTTTGATATTTTCTTTGTTTACTCTGTTATTTTATGAATCCAATTACATTGGTCACGAGATCATTTTAAATAACAATAAAATTAATTAAAACAGGCCAAAATTTTATTTATTTTGATTTCAGAATAGTTTTTATTTTAATTCATGCACAGAGATGTGATGGTTTTCAAAAGATTGTTTTCAGACAGATTTTCTAAATTTAATGTTACCAGTTTTTTATTTGTATTATCTATGATAGCTGGGGTTTTTTCTTATTATTAACAAATATTGAAATTATATTAAAAACAACTATAAGTTAAAGTTGTCTTCAAAAACTCACCTTACAGATATTTGATTGGATACCTGAAGAGTACACACCTGAAACTGTCCCAGACTTGATTAAAGATGATTGGAGTAAAGACGATCCTTGGTGGATTCACGTCAGATGTGATGGAGATGTAAGTCTTGTTTCCCCGTGACTAGTTGTATTATAAAAACTATTTTTGAAATTGTATTTCCAGTTTCCTTGTTTTTACATTTTTATTTGTTTTTATCAACTTAGTCTTTTCACGCTGTTTTCTGTATTGTATTATCCATATTTGATTATTTAATTTTCTGTTAGTCTTCTTTCAATTTTTTTTTTTTTTTTTTTTTTTTGCATTATATTTTACTCTTTTTGTTTCAAATTCTTAGTGTTTAATTACTTAAGGCTTATTTTATGCACTATTTTAAACAGCAACTTTTTTTTTGCTTGTTAAATTAAGATTGTTTATCTCTCTTGGCTGTTTAAGAGGTTGTATTTAAAGCAGTTTTTTTTTTTTTATTGTCTAATTTTTTAATCAAAGTGTTTCATTTCCCATTCTATTTATTGTATTTTGTACACTACCACAAGAAAAATTTGTTTAATGAAACATTTAAATTTCTTACAGGATGATACAACTAGAGAGAACATGGGAGATTTGCTCTACTTCCCTAAAGGTTTCCATTTCAAGTATTTTCCATTCCGCAACCAACAGGGCTACCGGTCACCTCTTCTGTTCTTGCGTATGGATAACCCACGACCTGGTGTCCTCCTTATGATGACCTGCCGAGCTTTTGCCAAAAATATTATTCATGATAGGGTAGAACAGGTTGGGCAAATACGATTTGAAGTGCTAGTAGATTGAGTGTATATATTTTGGGTGCCATTTGATAAGCAATTCTAAAGTCACTTTGATGTTATTTCAGACAGCTAGTATTGTCAATTTGAAAAAAAATTTGTTTTATGGTTTTGATAAACAAAATTACATTAATGTTCTACAACCTTAATGTTAGATAGAATTCTATTTTTTGACATTAACAAAACAGTGTGGTCAATTATAAATTTTATTAAATTTAATATTTTGATTCATAAAAAAAATACATTAATTTTATTATTTTGATTCCTAAATATGCATGCTAGTGCTACTAGCAGCCTAAAAAAAATTCAGCTTGATTTTTTTTTCTTCCAAATCTGCAGGTAACTAAGTTTTGTAAAAATCTTTTGTTTTAAGGTTGATTTACATTTAATTTATTAGAACCTAAGTGCATCCATGGCCTTGATGCATTTTAAAATAGATTTTACTTAATGATTTATTTAAAAAAGAAGTAGAAAACATTCACATGCTACGTAATGTGACAGAATTGCATAATATCTTTAAAAATGTAATAACGAAGCACATTTTCTTCACTCAGCATTTTTTGTATAATTGTCATTTTTTTATTCTCAAGTAAAACAAATTGTAAAATGCCGTTTTATTCAAGTTTAATAGAAGCAAGAAAAACTTAAACCACCAGTAGCCTAATGTCCTGCGTGAAAGTGTTTTGTTACTCTGTTCAGATTAAAGTGATTACTTTTTCAAGATTAGGATCATACTCATAGTGGCAGCTTAAAATGGGGTTTGTCTGTTAGTGTAATTGTTCTCTGCACATATGCAGAATGCTGGTATATGTTTGTGTATATTTTTGAATCTCAAGTGGGCTTAAAGTTTTGAGTTGAGTTTGAGTTGATAAATATTAACAGTGGCCTGCTAGTGTTCCCTTCAAGTATTTTAAAATTTAGCTTTTAAATTTGAATTATATTTTTAAAAATAAATCTCTCCATGAAATGTACAGTTTATTTAAACTCTTATTCCATGTTTTACAAATGTTACCTATTTGCTAACATTAGAAATTCACTGTTGCAATTCATCTCACAGTAATATCTGGGGTGTTAATTATTAATCTGATGAACAAAACAAATTATCAAGTTTGGTTAAATATGTTTTTTGAATGAAACATTCTTGTATATAAAGTGTTTAATCTCTGGTGTTAACTTGTATAATCTCATGACTGAAACAGATTATTTAAATATATAGTTTGACCAGTGTAAAAAATCTGGCAAATTGATAGATCTGACACATTCCATTATACACACCTGTAAATAGATTTATTGTGCTAGCCTTTTCAATAGCACTTTTTTATCCTTCCTTGCTTATAAATCTACCAAATGCAACATATCAGTTGTTTCTATACAAAGTTGTATTTTTTTTTTTTAAATGTTACTTCTGTGAAAATATATTTTATAATCATGAGAGACTGAACACATATTGTCCATAAAGTTTACCAATAAACTTTGAACAGATATTTTTGTAAATATTTTTTTTTCTTAAAAGTTTACTGGTTTTGTACTCATGTTATAAAATACAATAAATCAATCGAAACGGTTTTGCTATATTTTGTTTATATTTTTCTTTGTTGTTTATACATTTATTTTTGGTATCAATTTAAATTAAAATACAAACTAATTCTAATATGTTAACTTGTATTGGCTCAAACAATGAAATATGTAAAAAGAGATGTAGAAAAGAACATTACTAGCCTTCCATATGACAAGGATCTGACAATGTGACCTAACGGTAGAGAGCTAGGCTGTTAACCTGAAAGTCTCAAGTTCGAATCCGGGTTGAAGTCTGTAGAATGTCCCTGAGTCCACCCAGCTCTGATGGGTACCTAACTCTCATTAACAAGACCAAAGGCGGCTGATCAGTACTGACCACATAATCCCTTCTTATACCAAGGTCTCTGAAGTAGATGAACTCTATTTCATCTGCTCCATTTGTCTTCGGCACTAACTGGGAAAAGATAATAAGGATGAGATGCAATGATCAATTTGGTTCTGCCAGGGTTATCTATTTCTATGGATCACACCTGCTAGTTGGAATTGATTTAAGAGCCAATTCTTATATAGGACTCCCTGAAGACTTAAACCTGGGTACTTAACATTTGGTTAGCAAAATCACTGGCCCAAAACACCCTCCTATGCTAAAAGTAGAGTTAGATCTTGTAGATATATTTCAATCTTGGATTCATTTTAAAGCTGACTGCGACTACTGCTTGGCTTCTTCCAGGATGAGGGGTGGTCGGATGGTAGAGCGAAGAACCGCTATCCAAGCTTAGATCCCATGCTTAATTCTGTAGGAAGTCCCTGAGTCCACCCAGCTCTGATGGGTACCTGGCTCATGTTAGGGAAAGTAAAGGCAGTTGGTTTTAACGCTGACCATACTATCCCTTTTTATGGTGAAGCTTCAAAAAACAGGTGAACTCCACTTCATCTGTCCCATGGACTGCTAGGTTCGAGAGGGTAACGACTTTTGTTTTACCTTAAAATGATCTCTATGAACTTTGCCAACTAATGTAAAATCAACTAGTTTACCATTAATTTAATGTAATCCATTCTACAAGCTAGTGACGCAAGACATTAAACAATTGCTTTAAATAAAGATCAGGAATCTTTTGTCCATCCTCTCCACTACGTTTCACTCAATAGATATTAATGTAAAAAGAAAAGAAAATAGTATAGACACCCATTTTAGATCATGTTATGTGTATTTCTTGCTGTCAATCGCTAAGGCGAATGTTAGGGTGAGGATTTAAATATGCAATTGTCAATGCTGAATCAAAGTAATAATTGTAGATTTTTTATTTAACAATTTTAACGCCAAATGAGTCTCATTTGTATGGCCTACTATGAGAATTCAATATAAATTACAATGTATCGGTTACTTCCCTTTGATCGTATTTTCACAACTCGTATTTTTCCTAGAACCTTGCAGATGGGATGTCTTGGTAGAGAGAACTGGATTATAAATCCAAAAATAAATAATAATTCTAAGCTTTTTCATTACAATTACATTTTGAAATAAGGGTACTAAAGGCCAATAACCATTTACCAATATTTTTGTAGAAGACAACATGAAAATGAATCATTGCCAAAGAAAGAGGAAATACTGACAATAGGGTTAAGTGTTGATGTGGCTTATATATGAGGGACCACTATAGTGAAATCATCTAATTGCACTCAGTTTGATGATATGTATTTCCAATAACTCATATTCTTTTTGTTAGCGTGAAAAGCTATATTTTAGGCGTTTGATAGTCCTTTTTTTCACGCATTGATTTAAAATTTGTACAAAATTTAAATCGTATTGAAATTGCTAAAGCTCGCCAAGACAAAACTGAATTTAAAATTATTATAGTGTTATCACAGCCCATTGCACTCTTGGGCTGTTTTGATTTCCAGTCTTAAAATAGCTTTCCTGGATATTTCTACACAAAATTATTCCCCAATAAATTTTGTTGAATCTTATTTTTCTGTGGCCAATGAGCAATGGTTAAACAATATTGAGATTAATAATCTATGAAATTGTTGTTTAAAGTTATATTTGAGGAGTACTATGATCCATCTTTGAGCTTCTATGTGCATGATCCCTCAAATTACCAGCAACCCATTTATGGGCACATTCGGTCTTTAAATGGCTCTAACTCTTGTGAGAATTGATAATTTTGAGGAATTAAGGTAAGTTTTTAATCATCGTTATCGGAGATATTGATTCAAAGTAAGCTCTATAACTGTTCTATTCCGTTAAACGCTTTTTGATGAATGAGAAAGAACAGGTGTTGTTGTTGTTTTTAATTTTTTTTTAAAGTACCCTTTAAGATACTTAAATCTGAAAAAAATAACTGTTCATGTTTTAATTAAAATCATTGAGACTCAAACTTCTAATGGTGCGCAGAAACCTAAAAACAGTGGCACTAAAGAAGACTATTTTGATAATTAAATTTGATAATTAAATTTGACATATAACGCGGCCTAACACCGGAAAACCATATTTCTACCTCCAGGTTTTAAAGAGTTCTCCACTCAACCCCGTTCCCACACCCTCCGTACGTCAAACGATAACATGCTATCTCTAGTAAACAAACATGTTTGTCGTGTGTCTTGTTATCTCTCACGGTTGCTAGGCAGGGTAGCCACTGGCTAAACCACTGACCATGTCAATGAACACATAGTACATAATGGGAACGAAATGGGAGGAGGGGAGGGGGCTGCTCATACTTGACGTCTCCTTCTAAGCAATTACCAAAGCCATTAAACAAGACAGACTCCCCTCTCTGAATCAGTGAAGTCACCAGGTCGGGTGTTACCCTGTGCGGTAACCAGTAGCGTACGCAGGGGGGGAGCAGGGGGAGCGGCCGCTCCCCCTCTGGCCATTTTCAGCAAAGTGGCGCCTTTTTGGAAACTTTTTAAACTCAAAGTTTTAAACAATGATATGTGTTAAAAAAATATTTTTGGTCGGCACATCTATGTAAATCACAAGATTTCTTTTCACGCAGTAGTTAAAGCATTATTTTACTAGTCTAGTAGTGTCTACGTTTACAACACGTATTAACAGCTGCATCAGTTTGCCATTCTAAAAATAACCATTATGATGCATTGCAATGTTTAAAAAACCTCTACGGGTAGTACCACTTGGCAAGAGGGGTGTTAAGTTTAAGGCAACTGTATAATGTATTTGCTTACGAATAATTGAATTAGAAATTTTATACATAAAACTTCACACATAATTACTTTATATATACAGTTTGAATCGTGTGATTAATTTTTTAAAAATTACAATACATAAACAAATACAACTAATGTGGCACCTCTATTTAAATTTACTTATGAGCAAACTGCGTAGTGGTGGGGAAATTTTGACAAGGTCAACAACGTCATCACGATGAAGTAGTAGTATTCTTACAGTTTGGGCGATAGTGATTACGATTACAAATTATATGAAACAGTTAAAATCCCCCTCCCCCATGGACCCCTCTGTAAACAAATATTGTCATAATACCACTGCTACTTATTTAAATCTTTTTATGTAATATATATTTGTGTAGTATATATTTGTGTAATATATATTTGTGTAATATATATGTATGTTTAGAACTGTCATCTAAAAACTGACGCTATGTTCACTCTGAGTTGGTTATCTCTCCCCCCCCCCCCCCCCCCCACACACACACACCTCACCACCACAATTGTGTAGAGCGACATTAATGTCACACCTAGGTATACACTGGGTTGGATAATTGACCTAAAGTGACCGGACAGTGGTGAATGAAGTTGAACCCACCCTCCCCACCCCCAACCCACCCCGAACTGATCTGTTAAGTACATGTAGAAAAACGCGTAATGATGTACGAAAGTACCATGGCGTCAGAAAATTAGCTTTTTAAACGTAAAACTCTGTGAATATTGTTTTTGCAATTACCAGTAAAAAGGTTTGTGATCAATACAGTGATCTAACCCATACCTATCACTATGTTAAAAAATTATCTTTAAAGAACACAAAGAAGCAGTAGTTAATTAAAAATATATGATCTGAACTAAAAGTCCTATATTTAGTTAAAAGTAGTTTGTTATTCCGATTGCTTTTCTATTATATCGAAAAGCGTGGTTTATACCAACTCTGATTTTAAAAATTTTCATTATGCTGTAATACTTAAGCATTTATGATGACGATATATTAAATTCTAATTATATACAAAAACATTTTGTAAACACGAATAGTGTTAAACAATTTCATAATACTCTAAAGTAATTATTTATTTCTTTTGTCATTTATAATTAAATGTGTAGATATGTAGGCTACATATTTATATTAAGAGAGTAATTATTTCCCCTATTTCAATTGTCTTAAATAATTTCCCAGGAATTATTATTATTATTATTTTACAAGAATTACAAAACAAATTGTGTTACGTTCATTGTTTTTGGTTGTAGTGTGTGTATATATATATATATATATATATATTAGATTGATACAATTTTTGTTTTGTCGGCCTACATTGTGTGTTTTTTCTTATTTCTTCAGAGTGCTACTTTCAATTTATTTTACATCATAGCGAAGTAATGACATACAGCTAGTAATTATATATATATATATATATGTATATATATATGTATATAATATATATATATATATATATATATATATATATATATATATATATATATATATATATATATATATATATATATATAGGCCCTATATATATATATAATACACGTATATAGAACGTGTTAAATATTCGGCGCCTTTTTTTTAGCTCTTTTCGCTCCCCCTACAACGAAAACTTGGATACGCCTCTGGCGGTAACTGAGGGTGTCACTCCCCCCTCCTCTAATAATTTAGATTTGGTGTCACCCCCCCCCCTTCCCTTACTATTTTGTTCTCTACGCTGGATAAAACTTTGTTTTGACAGTAAATTTTACGACTGCACCCCCCCCCTTCCACGTCTTTTGACGCCACTGCCTTACATCCTTTACAATACCTTCAGTGGTAGGTCAGTCTTTTTACCCGTGGGGGGGAGGGCACTTGAGATTTTCGGGGGGGGGG